TGTGTGTGTGTGTGTGTGTGTGTGTGTGTGTGTGTGTCTTTCTGTCTCTCTCTCCCTCCTTCCCCCCACTCCTCCATCCACATGATGCTTGTCGTCCTCCCACCTCCCTACGTCCTCCTTCCGCTCGCCCTCCTGCTGAGCTTCTGATGACTTATTTCCAAACTATTCCCAACCTCTTCCTCCATACGCCCTCCTTTCACCCAACCTTCTGTGGAAGTTCTCCCTTCTTTTGCCCTTACTATTCCGCAAGGAGAAGTGGCGAATGATGCATAGAGGAGGTGCAGAGGAGTTGGATGGAGGGGCAGGGAGAAGGGGGGTAAGGGTAGAGAACCGCGAGGAGGGATGGGAGCACGGAGAAGGGGGCGAAGAGGAGTGGAGGAAGAGGGCCGCACGGAGTGGCGCAGCAGCAGGTGGAAAAATGGTGGAATGGGGAGGAGGGGGACAGGTGGGCAGGGGGAGAAGCAGAGGTGGAGAATGATTTGAAGATTGATGCACCAGTAATGCCTCTACACAAGTTGTCACCTTTTGAAGGGCTTTGCATGGTATGAGGCTCATGCTTGATAAGATCGTTAACGATGACACATTGGAGGTAACGGGTGTATGCACCAGTAAGAAAGCACTAATCCCAAGAAGTGAGGAAACAAGTGTCCGTGGTACTATTGCCTTTAATTGAACAAGATGAGGTGTGACATGGCCTTAAAGACACACTTGCACGTCATGAAAGGAGGCAGAGTAAAAAGGGAGCTATACTGCTATTCATTTTTCTTCAGATCTTCAGCTTATATTTTGTCGGTTCTCTAATGATGCTCATTTGTATGCAGTTACTAGTAGTACACAAGGGAAGGGAGGAGGGGAAGGAGCAGAAGGCGGAGTTCTATAGGAAGTGAGGGGTAGGGGAGAAAGTGGAGTGGCAAAGGATAGAACAGATATGACAACCAATATGTGCGTGTGTGTGTGTGTGTGTGTGTGTGTGTGTGTGTGTGTGTGTGTGTGTGTGTGTGTGTGAGAGAGAGAGAGAGAGAGAGAGAGAGAGAGAATCTGCTGGAGCTCGTAGGCATTTGTAAGCTGATGACAACCAATTGAATAAAACAAACTCAGACATTTGATTGAGGGCTTCTCCAGATTGAGGAAGTTGGTGAGAGGAGGTCCAAGTTAGTCAAGATCCCAGTGCCCCGTTGGTGCTACTCCTCAACCAGTGCAGGCCTTCACATTTCCTTCTCAACCTCTTGCATTCTGTTCTGTGCGGCAATCAGTGAACTGCTCGAATGGCTTTTGTCTTCCTGGCTCATGGGATGCGTGGCTGTGACAGGTCATGCAAGGTGGCGTTGATTCTTCTCCCAAGCGTGGTCAATCTTCTCCAAGTTATAGTTTATCTTCTCCGCCAAGGGTGGTTAACCTTCTCCAAGTTAGTTATTCTCCAAGTCCAAGCCATGACAGACCTCCTCAGCCTCATGTGAGCTCCTCTGCCTCCCATCCATCCAAACTCCTGTGTCACAATCAACAAAAGGTTTCTGCAACTCTCTCTCACCCAGAGCGAGAACTTCCCTTTCCTAAGCGGTCAGATGTACAGATATGCCCCTGCAGTGACTCACAAAAGTCGTTAGAAATCTAGGCAGTCCCTGTTCAGATACTGAACCGCCCCATTATTCCCTGAAGGGCCTGGGAACAAATGGAAAAGTGTCCCCCGATCTTTGACGCAGCCTGCTTGCTGCCCATCTGTCTGATCTGAGTACTTCTGCCCTCTTGTGGCTTTGCTGACTTGTCTTGCATATCCTCAGTTGACTGGACCATCGTGGCCTTCCTATGATTCACACAAAGGCGTGAACGTACTGTCCAGCTGTGCCTGGGGTTCCAAGTCCTGGTCAGATTCTAACAAGGAACTTGGCACTGTTCGGATCGATAGTGTCCTGACACACCAGTGCGTAGGAGTCTCCAGAGTTGTTCGATCCGTGCCTGCTTCCGGCGACAGCAACAATGCTGGCTCTGTCGTGTCCTGATATACCAGTGTGCGTAGGAGCCATAGTGTCCTGCTACACTCGTGAGAGTTGGGATCTGTAGTGTCCTGATATGCCAGAGTTGTTTGATCCCTGCCTGCTTCCGGCAACAGCAACAAAGCTGACTCCCAAGACTCAGCACTTCTGGCTTGTTTTGTTCGCTTTGCTGGCTTGTCAGACACATCATCCCTTGCTGGCTCTTGATGCATCCATATGCCTGCCCCTGTCCAACATGCAGAGGTCGACTTACCTGACTAGAATGATAGTTGGTTAATCGTACTCAACCATCTTAATACGATGACTTGACGGTACTCCATCATGTTCATATCAGCACACAACATCTCGTATATCAAGTACCTCCAACTATCGGAACCTGAAGTATGCCGGTCAATGTTTGCCATTTCCTTCCGATAGAATCACTTCAACTACACTTTCATGTAGTCAATGCCTCCCTCGCCCCTTCCCGTTCTCCTGGGCCTTCTCCTTCCCCAAGCCAAACTCCTTATGATCTCTCCGTTCTCCCTCGTGTGCAGCAGATTGATCACTCTGGCGACCAATGCAGTTCTTTCATCTTTGAGATAACTGTGAATAACAAAATAAAATTGACATCATGACACCAACCAAGACTAAAAGAGCCTGCTAGTGAGAACAGCCCCTACAGCTCAAAACTATGTGAACACCCTCCACCCTCTTTAAACCACCAGTACTTCTGAAACTAGCGGCTGCATGCATGCTGCAACGTGCTGGGATGAACAGGCCTGGGGCATTGGCATAAATTCATAAGCGTCGTGCTACTGTAGCAATGACTCGCCGCATGCATGCCGCCACCTCCGGAAATACTGGTGGTTTGAACGACCATTGTTCCCTAAACTGTTTGAGATAGATAACAAGAAGCGTAGAGGAGGATCTCACCTTGAGGGTGACTCAAAAGATTCGTCACTGGCAGATGAGTAACGATCCATGCGACTGTCTAATGGACCATGGAAGTTGATGCTGGGCACAACGTATGGGAGGAAGCAGAGGGGGACAACGAGCGAGCGTAACATGCGGTGCCACTGACCCAGAACATGTGCATATTTGTCCACCAAAGTGGTCTCTGATCGCCAACACATCATGTTTACCGAGTGACCATCTTGGATCTGCTCTTTGCAGGCAATGCGCAAAATGGTCACTTTCTTACCCCTGCATCCACCCCAATCAATAAGCCAAGGATGATGGATTGCTGGAAGCGTGGATTGATAGATTGATGCATCGACGGAGTGCGCTAGAATGCATGAGAGTTCTCTCTGAGATGCAGCTGACTTTATTGTTGCTCAAGATCAGATTTATCAGAATGAATTACTCAGCCATTTCATTTAGTCCAAAGAGCTCAAGTGAACGAGCGGCACTCCAAATCAGCTCTAGCATGATATTCATCAGGATCGAAAGTCTCAGCCACAGGCGCTTCCACATTTGACTGGCGACTCAGTGGCGAGCACAAAGAGCAGATCGGTAGAGGGAAAGCGAGTCGAATTGATTTACGGATTGAATGAATGATTTATGAGGTTGATTGCAATGACTGTAGCTTCATCAAGCGTCTTCTGCTGACCCGTCATCCACCTGGACCTGTCTTCATCACGAAGCTTCCTGCGTGACTAGCGGCAATGCCATTCACATGAACAACTTCTTCTGCCTGGCTCGTCCTCAAACTGCTCACCCCTGCCCTCTTCCTGGCAGCATCTATGATGGCAGTGGCAGTGCCAATTGTGAGGAGCAAAGCGATCGCTGAGAATGAGAGAGAGATAGGAATGCTGCAGCACATCAACACAAATTGGCAGGCCCACATTTCAATTCGCAGGCGAGTGAGTACTCGGCTATTCGTCAACTAGATTTTAATGGAAGGAGCCAGGACCACAAGGCCCTGTTTAAAAAAAATAAAAATAAAAATAAAAATGGTCCCAGGAATCAAGTAGTTAAGGTCCTTGCAAGATCACTGAGAATGAGAGAGACAAAGGAATGCTGCAGCACAGCAACGCAAGTTGACAGGCCCACATTTCAATTCGCAGGCGAGTGAGTACTCGGCTATTCGTCAACTAGATTTTAATGGAAGGAGCCAGGACCACAAGGCCCTGTTTAAAAAAAATAAAAATAAAAATAAAAATGGTCCCAGGAATCAAGTAGTTAAGGTCCTTGCAAGATCACTGAGAATGAGAGAGACAAAGGAATGCTGCAGCACAGCAACGCAAGTTGACAGGCCCACATTTCAATTCGCACAATTTCGCAGTTGACTCTGTCGGGTACTTTTTTTTTTAAGCTGTCTTCTCTCATGGGGGACAGCTGTCACAGCTGTATATGTTGTTCTTTTTTCCTCTCAATTTTTTTGCACTACAGACGTTTAATCAGTTACATTAAGAAAACCGGCACAACTCTGTGTACGGGCATCAAGTTAAGATTCTTGTGGAGTGATGCCCAGTCAATTTAGAGTAACTGTCAAGTCGCTGTGTTGGACTTTCGGCTGCGATTCTTTATTCGATTCCGTGCTTGATTCAGCCCAGTATAAAGGCTGCAGGCTTTCTGTTTTTACATATTTGGGTTCGTGCCGCATGTCCATGATATCATTATGATAAATTAATGAGACTTGGTAATTGTATATATAATATATTATATGCAATCAGACTCGACTCTTTCACACTTTTCATGCATGTGAACAGTAGCACGACAAACTGGCGACATGCACCCACACAGTACACAGAGATATGGC